CACACACACACCCTCAAGCAGACTCACACACACACACATGACATGCACGCACACTAACACGTGCACGGGCCATTTGCATATATATATGACCAAAAAATCTCGAGAACGGAAACCGCTCAGAGAAATAGAGTTCAAGTTTAAATTTTCCCAAGCGTTCGGAGAAATAGAGTTGGCCTTTTTTGGTTCTCTCATTTTGAATTATTTTGTTTTTTAACAAATTGGCCTTGGATTTTCTTTTAAGAGATTATATTATAGACCTATAAAGATATCTAATAATTTTTAAAAATTGATCTTTGTAAATAGATATAGATCTAGATCTAGACTAGAATCTAGGCCTACATTTTTAAAGCTTTTTTTTATTGGTTAGCCTACTCAATCCGTTTTCTGGAGGTTATTGATTATAATTGCAATCATGAAATATTCTATACTATAACAGGACCATTTCGTGGAAATCCATTTTTAAGTAAATGTAAGGCCTAGCTAAATAACTAGATCTAGATTCTAGATCTAGATTTATAGATCTAGAATCTAGATATCTAGATCTAGGCCTGGCTAACTTACGTTAAGGCTCCCATAACCTCCACCCAAAATACCAACAACCTCCAGGTCAGGGTAGGAAACCCCTTCGACACCGGTACATAACTCATCACTCTGTTCTACCCTTGTGCTGGTATTTTATAAAAACAAACAGTACTAACCGCTCTGAAACTCCCATCGTTTTCATTGTGAGCAGTGGCTACTTGAGAAGCGTCCTGTGCGATATCAAAAATCGTTGTTCGAAAAGCACTGTCCATTGTTCTGAAATACTCATGCACTCACAGACGTCGGTGTTTCATCCTTCCTTGCAGCCTCTATCTTCCCCCAGAGAAAGCCTGTTCTCGCATACAGGAACCTTACTTTACACGCTCACACCGACTCACACACATCTCAGGAAGAAGAGCGTTTTTCCCTCTTTCCTTCTTCTAAAAGAATTTTGGGAACAAGATCGGGAGGGGGAGGGAGAGGTAGTGCCAGAATCTGCCTGCTCTCGGTTCCTTAGGCCTACACACGCGCAACGCTCACACACAATTTCAGTCACCCAACCGCAACCCCCTCGACTGCAAAAATAGACTCAGCCAAGGTCAAAAGTATAGGTGTTGTGTTAGTGAGTTGAAGTGGAAAGGTGTGAGTGTGATGGTTGCTCTGAGTAAATTGCCGTAGTAGATCTAAAACTAATTTCCTCCTTCCATTTAAAGGGTGATCTCTTTGCGAATTACAAAATGCTATAGGTCCCATGAGCCAATTTGAATTTCCCGAGGGCAAAAATACTTAGCCTAATAGCATTCACATCCCTGGGAAGGCCCTGGGGCTGCAGACAGAATTATTTCTACGAAACTAAAGTTCTACGTGGATAAATGAAGACTAGGTCATAGTTCAAAGTTGAAGCCGAAGAGGTCAATCATGTTGTTGAATACAGCAGATATCTATTGGCAATGAGAGATACACTACTCGCATCAGCTGGTCTTTCTGCAGTTATCAGTAAACAATATGAGGCTGTAGCCTAATCTCACTGAACGGATGGAGAGGTTCCCAGCTCGACTACGCATAAAAGCGCTGGGGAAAGTGTTCCTTCGCCATTCGACTCAATAGCTTGCGAGGTAGACTCAACAAACGTGGCAAGAATGGAGGGCACAGTAGACGACGGAGGAGGAGGTGGAGGAACTGAATTCGTTTCTGAGTCGTACCGGAACATTTACGAAATTTGGATCTTTTCCGTACTTGCTGCATTTGTGGTAGGCCTGAGTGGTATTTTCCCCCTTCTCATCATTCCCCTTGAATCGGGACCCTCGCTGAAACACGGAGGTAAGATATGCTCGGTTTATTTCGAGTGCTCTTATTTCTAATTCATCTCCCTTTGCTCCTGCTCACCTTCTAAAACTCGCACTCGCAACCGATGCCGATATAATGCACACCCATTTTCCAATTGGCCTTGATGACTGTTTTATCATCATGTCATCAGGGGAAAATGTGCAAGTTTATTTATTAATCAATCTGTCGACTCTTTGCACTTTAAAAAGTTTTCGCAGTTAAGGTGTTCATGAAAGGCAACATTTTGTAGCAATTTGGGGG